AGGACATCACATGTCAGTCCACGTGGCCGATAGGACCCTTCCGGTACATGAATGTTTCAAATTTGAAAGGTTAAAACCCTTATTTAGTCTCTTATAATATTTTTTTGTTTCAATTTAGTCTCACTTTAATTTTTTATTTCAATTTGGTCCCCAATAATTTAAATTATTGTAATTTGGAACTTCCGTCCAAATGATTTAAACGAAGTTAACTATTGGCCAGGTGGATGCCAGGTGGATGCCACGTAGATGCATAGGTGGATGTCAAACTTCATGAATACACCTGGAACTAGAACGGCCCGTTCTGAAACCAGAACGACCCGTTCTGCTTGCACATGTTATGCGTTAATTTTTCAACTGGAACGGACCGTTCCAAATGCAACTTTAACACACCATGGGTGCATAAGAACGGGTCGTTCTATAACCAGAACGGCCTGTTCCAGGTACAAAATTAACACACCAAGAGTACAACTAGAACGAGCCGTTCTGGTTCCAAGTGTATTCAAGAAATTTAACATCCACCTACGCATCTACGTGGCATTCACCTGGCATCCAAATGGTCAACAGTTAACTCCATTTAAATCATTTGGACGAAAGTCTTAAATTACAATAATTTAAATTATTAGAAACCAAAATGAAACTAAAAATTAAAGTGAGACTAAATAATAAAAAAATATTATAAAAAACTAAATAAGGATTTTAACCGGTTTGAAAATATATACGTGTGTATCATGAACACGTGGAAGGTGGAATATATATAACATGACCATAAAGCGGAGTATTTTATTGGTGAGGATTAGAATTAAAATAATGATAAAGTTTAGGTGTTATAAGAACTAAGTTCATCTATCTAATCATGTAATTGAGGAATTAGAGGGTCACATCATCTTGGCACAGTGTAATTTTTTTAGGTAGGGACAGAAAGTTGCCTATCAACTCACTGTGCATGGAGTTAACCTAAGCTACATATATATTATTTTATTGACTCCAAAGTCCAAAACAAGTTAACTCCCATATTAAGTAACACTGCATGATTAAGATAAGTGCACTGCACCATACTCTATATAATATATGCATTATCTTTTTAATCCTCAACCAAGAGCAAAAAAGTGACAATTATCTTATGATAAGGATGGCTCAATATGGGGGTTTTGGACAAATCAAACTCCACTATCGTAAGGAAAAATGTGCTCCCAAATGACACTTATCAAATTTAGTTCAGAGAGAATGTTAATAGTCTTGTTGACCCTGGTGAAACGACAACGTTACACTATAATATGGATAAAGACAAGGAGCGTAAGGAACGGACTTTCATATCATTAATCTTATCATTCATCGTATTCTTTTAGGTTAAATATTAATCAAGTAGGGGAATTATATATAACAGGATTTTTTCAAGTTTTCATCTAATCGTCTATGTTACATACAACATATATAGAAGGCATATTAATCCAAGAAAATTGACAATAATTAACGAGTTTAATTAAAATGTATAATAACATATAAAAAAAACTAAACTAAACTACCATCTAAATTTTTATTTTGATATTCACTCATGATATACATATAAATAAAATTAATATTATTCAATTTTATTAAAAGAATAAATATATATTTAAGATTATTTTTCATTAGTAGATAATGTAAAAATTATTTTAATTAACAATATATTTAAGTTAATATCATAATTATTTATTTTTTTCATGAAATGCAATAATTAACTACATTTGTAATAAACTAATACAACCACCCACTAAATCTCGTATGTACATTTTACATTTCACAGTACGTAATTTAAGTTATAAAGTTTATTCTAAAATGGTGAGAATAATTTTTATTTTAGAAAATAAGAAATATAAATTTTAGTCTTATACCGATGATTAAGATTAAAAATATTTACCAATTAAATTATCCTTGACATATACTTTTACCTTTAAAATATTGTCCATTTAATTATAAATTTTTTATTTAGATAAATAAATATATATATATATATATAAGAAGAAGAAAAAAAGTGATGTACTCACAATTTAGAATAATTTTATATTGTTATCTCCACTCACAGAACACTATTTATTGTAAGTTGGTACTTTTATAATAAATAAATAAAAGATCATATTAACGATGTGAAATTGATTTATTTGAATGACTATATAATTATTATTTTTTAAACTCCAAATACTAATTTGAGTTGGCAGTGCGAGTGAAAAAGAACTCTCACATTGTTCAATTAAGTTATAAAGAATTAAATTCTAATTTGGGTTGACAGTGTAAAAAAGAACTCTCACGTTTGTTTAATTAAATCTTCAGAAATTAAGTCGTAACTCTCATAAATATTTAAAATTTAAGTTGTGAGAAGATGTTGATCTATTTGGTTTTTATCATTTGTATTCTAAAGGTAGTATGTCAGCTAACAAAATGATATAAATTATAATCACCCATCCATCCCGTTGTATTCTTGGCAAATACTTCTTGGGAAGATCTCTTCATTAATTATAATACTAAAACTCAATTATAATTCTTAGTATAACTTGCATAAAAGAATTTCCAAGTCATATGGTCATCTCTCCTATAGACAACAAACTCATTAATTGTCAACATCTTCGTGACATTGAAGTGCTCAATCTCTTGAAGAACATATGTTTGCGTGCTGATATAAAAATTGCATAATATTTTTATACATGTTAATACCAGGAAGGATTAGGCTTTTATATAATGAATAATAAAATATTTTAAGAAATAAGAACAAAGAATTACAAACTAAATAATGATAGTTTTCTAAGAGACTTAAATGATTTATTATGAGGAACATATGAATAACTGTTACTTTAAATAATTTTACAAATAGGATTTTCTTAGTTAAAGAGATTCTTTTTTATAAAAAAAAATAATTGTTCATCTCAATTACGGATAAGTATTTATTTATATTGTCTAAGAAAATAACTTATATTTTAAAATTATTAACAAAATTATATAAATTAAAATAAAATAAAATCTTCACAAATTTTCATAAGATATTCTTTCGCATTCAACTCAAGAAATTTCGGACAAAATTCATTGTCCAACCAATCCGAACAAATATCGTGTCTTGGAGTGCTCTTAAAGAGACCCAATTAGGTCAAGTTAACGTAGATGCAAAAATCTCTATCACTGCAAATTAACAGGAGATACAGTTATGTTTGTTTATAGTTTAACGGAACATTAATTCATCTTTTATTTTTTACTCTCACCAATTTAAATAATTATGATTACATGATTTAATATTTTATAAAATTGTGAGACTTGTCGATTTTTTTTTTCTTTTCCTTTAACAATACTTCTTTCAAGAAAAATAAAAAGAAACAATTTTCATCACTAAAAACTATGATAAAACTGTAATGAATTGTATTATTACCTCACGAGTTACAAGTGAGATATGTGAGATTATTTGTAAAATAAAATAAAAATGTTACAATCAAATAAAAATGATTCCTGGTTCACTGAATCTTCATTATCTGTAGTGAGTTGAGAAAGTAGATCAAGTTAGTTTGTTTAAGTGATAGGATGTGCAGACATATACATAAAATGTGCAAGTATGTATAAAAGATGCAAGTAATTTTTTTATCGGGAAAAATTATAATGACATTGATATGTTTTAACTTAAAATTTTGTATATATTTAAAATTTTATACATATTATTTCAACTCCTAAGTCCTAACACTATATTCACTTGAGATTTGAATGCAAGTAGTTTAACAACTTTGAATTTTGCTACAGGTGTGAAAGGTTATAAACAAAGTGAGTTATATAAACGAATTATATTGATGAGTGGGAAAGAAACCAAATTGGCACAGTAGAAAACTGGTGTTTAGTCGAAAAATTTGACAAAATTCCTCATACTTTGCACCAGGCTCCCTATTTTTAAGGGGCAATTAAGGGGTTCAGAACCAGCCCATGACTTGCTGGTTAGCAACACCAAGTAATGCAGCCCCTCATGGGTCCCACCCCCAACCAAAACAACATTACTCACTTCATCACAAAACAAACCACGTAGTGGACCCCACAAACACAAATCAATTAATTAATACCATGGTCAGTGATGGAAAACAGATACACCCATGGCGTGAAAGTGAGCAAGACAAGACACAGTATTTCACCTCTCTATCCCTCTCTCCTCACTAGTCAGCTTCTTTATTATTACTAAATATTGTTATTTAATAATAAACAGATCTATTTACTTTAAAAAGAAAGTAACTCCAAATACTTGTCCAAACAACCCAATCTTTGTTACACAAAACTATAGTTAATAGACAGTTAGATTACACTATCACACGAGATTATCTTAAAAAAATTAGTAACATTCAAGTCTTGCACGAGGAACCCATGTTTCATTATAGATAACAATTAAAAATCATATTAAGGCTCCATTATTATATATATTACTTTTCCTTGAACTAATAAACTATACATGATCTAGATTACCAAAAGCTAACAGTTCTAGTACACCCCTAATAGGATATGATTTGTTTTCAAATCTCTTATCAGATAAAATTTTATCCCGAATAAAGTGCATGCAGCACAGGATCACAGGAATAGAACAGAAACTGCGTTTGAGCAGCAGCTCCTATAATTCAATAAATAAACCCCATAAGCAGCAACACTTTCTGCCTCTTTCTCCCGAACACAAAGATATAAAGAAAAATAATTATTAATTACTCCATGTCTTACGGGGGAGGTAGAACTGTAGAAAGAAAGAAATCACAGATACAGCTTTAGCTTAATTCTCATCTTCATTCTCAAATTCAGAACCAAAATATCACCCAAAAAATATATGTAAATAACAGTACACTGCATGCCAAGTCCACTGTTCAAACAAACTGAACCAGGAGCATAGAAAGAAAAAATCACGCAAAAGATTATATAGTCATACATTCAGACGTGAAAGGTATAAGTGAACACTGAAACTAACATTACACTTAATTACAACTAACACTAATTAATTTCAAAAAATGCACTTAAAGCAGGAAAGCAAAATAAATTCCCTTCCGGATATATATATCATTCTCTCCCATTAAGGTAATCATGGTCTCATTAACAAAATAGAAACTAAACAATTAAAGCCAAAAAGAAACGAAATAAAAGCACTAATTAATTATCCAAGAGCATCATTATCATTAACCTATCTAACACATTATTCTTCTCTCTCCAATCTAGGAAGGATCAAGAAGAAGACGAGGACCCATTGGCACCAACGTTGGCTCCACCATAGCGATGATTCCGAGTGGGATCCTGAGAGCGATCTTCAGGAACGGCAACAGCATCGTTGTTGGTGGGAACTTCAAAGCTCTTGTCAGAGCCATTGGCATTATCGTTATTACTAATACTAACAGTATTAATAGGATTAATATTAGTATCTTTTTTGGCGAGGGAGTTTTTGTTGTTATGCATCCAAACCTTGAGAACGCTTCTATCGACGCCAACCTCGTTGCAAAAATCGTGAATCAAATCTTCGTCACGCTTCTGCATCTTCCACCCAACTTTCTCCGCGAACTTGTGCATCTTCTCTTTCTGCTCCTGGCTGAACTTGGTTCGGAACCTCTTGCGGCTGTGGGAGGCAAGGGGGGAGGGGGCGGCGGTGCTCTCGGGCGGAGCGGCAAGGCCGGCGGAGAGGGCCAGGAGCATGTGCGGCGCCGAGGGGTAGTAGGAGGAGGAGATCGGCGGCGGGGAGGCCGAATTCGGGCTGCGGGTGGCCGCATGAAAAGGCGGCGGAGGGTGGTGCCGGTGGTGGGGCTGGTACTCGATGACG